TTTATACCTTCTCAAGAAAAGCACAATTAAAACTGTAATGGTGGAATTACCCACATCCACAGATTTTCACTTAGTTCTTTATAGATTTATGAATATGTTCTCTTTTCTTCATTCTTCTCCTCTTAAGATATGAAGTCCTTGCTCTTGGCCAAATGATGACTATCTGTTCATGTACTGTCAGTAAAACCATATTGAGCAGGAAGAAGGTCAGTGTCAGCTGTGACAGCAGTGGTAGTGGTGAGGGCAGACAAGCCTGCAGCGATGCACTTTACATAGATTCCATTAACAGCCAGTTTTATTTGTCCTGCTAACAGCAGAAAATGCTGAAAGCAATAGAAAACTCAGTTGGTTCCCCTTGAACAAGCTCCCAGCCCACCTCAAACACCATCCACTCCCTCTCTCCACCTCCCTCACCCATATAAAGATGAGTAATGTGTGCAACATACGCAGCCACTGGAGGAATATATTATCCCCCCGGCCCGGGTGGCAGTGATAAATGTCCAAGACGAACTCAGTGCACAGTCACCGAGGCAGCTCTGCAGAGCTGAGAGAGTTCAGAGAGTGAGAGGCACAGAGACAGTGTGGGAGAGACAACGAGAAAAGCATTTAAAGCACACCGTTTTATTTTCCTTTAAATGGACTCCTCAGTGACGGGACTGGAGCATGGCATCCCGAGCCCACCCAGGACTCATGATAAAACACCAAACCAGCCTGTAGCAAGCATCTGTACATTCATGTCAGTTGGCAGGTTTGCTTTCAGCTTCTCTGGTTTTGAACCTCGTCGTACCAGGAATGGAAGAACTTGATTTATTGAGGTCAAATCCAAACTACTTCTCTGAAAGTGGCTCTAATTTACTCTAATTGCATTCAAACCAATTTTCCTTTGGTAGACAATACACAATTACCCAAAGTTGGTCCTTCTGATCCAAATAAATACAGCTCATGTAAGGCTGTATAATTAGCACAAATGTGAAACTGGTTTGAACAATGTTCACGTTGAATCATGTCCAGCTTTAGCTCAGGAGTTAATAAAAAGAAGGTAGAAAGTGCAGATTCTGACTAAAGAGATTTTGAATCAACTGAATTCCTAAATCTTAGAGAGTAATAAAAATAAAAACACTGATGTATAAATGGACGTTTTCAAAAGTTTTAGGTTTTCATGAAGTACTCAAAAAATAATGTATATCCTTATTCAGGGTGGATTTAAATAGACTTTAAGACTGTTGTTAGTTTATAAATCACTGAACGGTTTTGCACCACAATACATTAAAGATCTGCTGTTGTATCAACCTTCCAGACCTCTCAGGTCTTTGGATTCTGAGTCTGGTCCAAATCCTCAGAACCAGAACCAAGCATGGAGAAGCAGCATTCAGCTTCTATGCTCCACAAATCTGGAATAACATTCCAGAAAACCACAAGCCTGCCGAAACACCGAGGGCTGAAAGCCCACCTGTTCAGAGTTGCTTTTGCAAGATAATAAATGGAACTTTACATTCAAAGTTCCATCTGTGAATATTTGATGTGTATTTATGATTTTGATGACAACACTAAACAAAATGTAATTTTTATTGGTATGTTGATTTTATGACTTTGTATTTTTGTGTATTTTGATATTTAGCACTTTGAACTGCCTTGTGCTATACAAATAAACTTAAATCATGTCTGTTATTTTCATTCATGAGCAACATGTTAGTGAAATTAAATGTTTGACGTTTTAGTAAATGAGAGCTAACTGTGCTTGGTGTTTATTTCTTCTTTGTTGGACTGAATTAGGCTGAGTAGACTTCTTTATGCTCTCCGTCTCTTTTAGCATGTGACTCTACTGATGCACTCCAACCAAAGAGATAGACACAAGCAGTCAGTTTGCCTGTTTGTTTGATGGAAAGCTAGAGAATAGTTTTGTTTGAGCCCACAGATGCCTGCAGCAACCATCAGATGCCGATCTGTTAGAGGCTATGACAATTTAATGGCACTGCTCTTGTTTTATGTGCATCTGCCTTTTCAAGGTTGTTCCTGCCGCCCACCCTGTTCCGCGGGGGCTTGTTCTAATGTGGAACTGAATGACAAACAGGAAGTTATTGACACCGCTGTGCTGGCCAGCCTCTGTAATTAGCAGGCATTTGTTAAAGTGGGGTAAATTGGCCCGGGGCTCTGACCTCAGATCCTCCCAGGCTCACCATTAGCAACCCATCCCCCTACCACTTACACCCCAACCTATGACTCTGCCACTTTGGTTACAGGTGAGGAGTTGAGGAGTAGGTGCAGGGCTTTACTAAGCCCGGGGCAACAACTCAGAGTACAGTAGACATTAATAACCTCTCTGTGGGTTGCTCAGGACTTCTTGACCTTAGTTTTGATTCTGTAGAAAAGGATAATTATGCACTCTTCCTGTCTTGTGGCTATCTACCTTTGTTGATTTGTGCATCATGCAAACAAATCCTTTTGCACCATCACCAATAGGAAGAGGGATTCATATTTTGTATGCACATAGAAGATCCAATTTAAGACCAATAGACACAGTCCAGGGAATTTATTTTTTGCTCTTGTTGAATCTTCTGGTACTTTCTGTATGAGAGAGTGTTGAAAACAATCAGTTCATTTTTGTTTTCATGAATTCAATCTGTGTTTGAAATAATTTATTTCCAGCGTAGACTTATCTAGTTCAAGTTTAATGTGTTGGTGTAATTCAGTTTGAAAGCAAGAGATGATCAAATCCAGGAAAGACTAATTTCACAAATTGAATCCGAACAAACACAAAGCAGATGTTAGCTTTAGCGTCATTAGTGGCTAACCTTTTAGCCATTTGTGGTTTTCTAATTGTGCTTTCCGATGTTTCATGTGCTGTGTATGGCAATTTCTCTTTTCTAACACAGTGGAGAACCAGATATTTCCATCCACTGTAAAAACAGAGTCCACAGAAAAATAAATTCAAGATGGTGGGAAAAGAGAGGAAAACAAAATTTCTCCAAAAGCAACATTTTATAGTTTGTAGATGTCCTCAGGGACAAAGACTTTATTTTTTGGAGACATGTCCTGTAGTCTTATGAAGCAAAAAGTGAAGTGTCAAAATGACCGTTTTTACTTTTGGAAGACAAAGAGGGAAACTTCAGCATGGCATCTTCATCACTTAGCTGAACTGGTGAACCTCATCTAGTGGTTCAGAGTCAGACTAAATGGAATTTGTTCTCTTGTTTATCATCAGCCACAGAAATCTTTAAGAAAGATTGTTTTAGAAATAAACACCTGTTTCTTTCCAGTGAAATTGCAAAATATAACCAGCAAATATTACAGCTCGGTTTCCTCATTTGGGATATTTCATACTAACAGCTCCCAACCTCTGCTTTCGATTTACAGTTTTCACCGGCAGAGACTTCCATCCCAAATGACATTTGAGAGATTTCTGAGCTGGCAGGGTGAATGAATTTGTTCAGGAGTTGGTTTCAGGTAAAACCAAAACTTGCTGTAGTGCAGTGAGACCAGGCATCGGAAGGACTGCTCTGATGTTCCTTCCCTTTCAACCCTGCGGTTCAAAGGAGTTAGGTGAAAAAAGTTACAACAAATGCCAGATTTTGAGTGAATTCTTGGTAACATGCTTGTGGCTCCTTTGCTCTCAGATTTGGTTCAAACACTTTTCACTTGGAAGTACTTTTTCCTTCCATACTCTTTGATAAAAAGGATTCTCATGTTTTGTAGATACCAGATACATATTTGCTAATCATCCTGCTTAATCACAACCGGAGAGTTTCATAAACAAGGTTTTCATCTGCCATAATTGCCATATTCCCAGTGCATTACACAAATAACAAATGGAGCAGAGAGAACAGACTGATGTAAGATTACAGGGTTTAAACCATGATGTGCTCATCAGGATTTGTTGGAGGAAGTCAAAGCATATTTCTAACACACTCTGTCCTTTAAAGTACTGGATACTTAAGTTCCTGTTAGATTCAAAAACATGTCAAAATCATTAATCATCAGATTTTTCCTGTATTTTCAATGGACTGGCTTATTTATCACTGACTACCAGCACATCAGATATTAGCAATACTGAACATTAAATATATGATGTTGAAACCAAAGTTTGATTTATGGACATTCTATAACTGACTAGCTTTTCTTGCTTCATTTCTATGGATTTAACGATTAGAAGATTATTTACATCATTTATTCTTAAAATTCAGAATTTCTCCTCTGTTTCTTACTTCTTGGTAGAATTGCCTTTTAAACTGCAAATCTTTCATTTCATAAGTTTTTCCACAATAGTTTGCTGGAATTTTGGCCAGTTCCTCTGACAGAGGAGTCTCATGCACCTTTTCAGCTGGGTCTAAGATCATGTGGTTGTGATGGATACTCCAGAGCATCCATCCGTATTTGATGGTGTTTTGTGACATTGTTCAAGTGGAATTGTTGTTACTCTCTAAACTTTAACTTCCTGTTGATTTCTTGACATGTTGCTTCAATATTTCCATAATATTCTGTCCTCATGTTGCCATCTACTTAGTGAAGTGCACCGGTCCCTCCTGCAGCACCAAAGCCCCAAACCAGGGTGCTTCACTCTCTCTTCGACAGTCAGGAGCATCAAATTAAATGCCTGAGACTCAAAGCTGTTAAGTCTCCTTCAAATGCTGAGTAATGCTATTTTAATCATGTGGTTCTGATGAGATACATCAGTGTGTGTGATTCTAACCATTGTATTTAAGAACAAATGTTGGGATGTTTTAATTTATTCCTCATCAGAAAAATTACATTAAACTTGCAATCTGCTTTTGTCTAAATATGTTGTAGATGCATGTAGTTTGTAACGTATAATTAAAGCAAAACTAAAACTTTTACAACAAACTAACAGCAACCCAAAAATATATAGTTATAATAATAATATTTTATTTTTCCAAACTGTCAATATACCTCAATTTAAATAAATTGGAAACACAATCTTGGCCAATTAATTTGTAAATGTAGAAACCTTGTTTTTTTTTTTTTGTTTTGTTTGTTTTTTTTTTTCTGACCTGTGATTTCTTCTCCTCAGATATTCATGATGAGAATGGATTGAAGCCCGTCATGGTTTACATCCATGGAGGCTCGTATGTGGAGGGAACCGGCAACATGATCGATGGCAGCATCCTGGCGAGTTACGGGAACGTAATCGTCATCACAATCAACTACCGGCTTGGAGTTCTGGGTGAGTCCACCACTTAGACTTTAATTGAGCCGATTCAGACACGTTCAACAACGAGTCGACATTCGATTCTAAACCACAATGGGATTTAAGAAGGAGTTAAATAAGAACCATTCAGGTTTATATCTGGTGTTTTATGGGCCGTTTCACAGGCTTTTTGTTTCCCTACTGCCAATGAGATATTTCAGTTCATTTCAGTTTATTTTGATTAAAAGATTTAAATATACTCACCTCAAAGCCAAAGTTTAAAACAACAAACACTCTCCATGATCTAACTGAACATCATTCATTTCATTTTACCTTTAAACAATATTATGTCCTTATAAATTTAAGTTCTCATATCAAAAGTCTTTGCTAAACTAATAGAATATTTTATTAATTATGAACAAAGAATATGAACTGCTCATATTTGCACCTCAGATCTTTATGTTATGTTTGTTTTCAATTGTTGATATTGTTTTTGTTCTTCTAGTCTTAAGTTCATTTTGTTATTACTGGATTTCTAGCAGCCTGTAGATACAGTGAGAAAACAAATATTAGTCAATGGATTATTATAATATTTTCATAGTAAACTTAATATTGAAATGCAGATCTGTTGGTTACTGAACAGTGTATTGTTGGTTCATCATAATTTAAGAGCTTTATCATTCTTATGCCTGTCTACAGTATAACTAGGGGCAATGTGCTGCCATGTGATTCATGGACAAAAACAATGTGAGGTACACAACAACCTTTGGTTGTGTTTTTGTTTTGTGTAATACTTAAATACCACCAGATATTTTGAATATATTTATTCCAGATTTCCAGTGAGTCTTTTCAAATCTGTTTCAAATTTGGATCCAATTTGAAGAGACCTCAAATGGTTTGAAATTCAAAACTAAAATGCAATGTGGCCACATTTGTTGAGACAATTATATGCACATATAAACATGATGGGAATGTCCCATCATCATATTGCTCAAGAAGCTTCTGGTGTGACATGTGACCCCAGAACAACAACAATCCTGTGAAGGTGCTGGTGTCAGAAAAGCAGAGTTATTGATAATTTCTCCTCTGTAAATGGTTCTCATGTTGCCTTTCTGCTCTTCATGCTGCTGCCTCACATAAACAGGAGCAGCTGATGCTCTGGAGACTCCCACACAATATGTGCATGCAAAATCATCTTTACTCTTGCTATTCCACTTATACGTGGGTACTGCTCCAGTCTATCTCTGTGGGAGTCAGTCTACTCTGGCTCCACTTGATATAAATTTTGTGAGTGTAACAGAGAGAAGCCCTGTTCATTTCCATAGTAAGGAAACCACTCAGAAGCCCCTCATGCAGAGATAAAAGTAACATTTTTTGTTCAGTTGACAAGACAAATGTATTGTTGTATTCAGTGCCAAAGCAACAGGTCCTCTGCAGCAATGACGGCTTTTTTTCCCTTCAACTATGATAGTAGTACACATACATTCTGATTATCTGCATTGTTTCCTTCTTGAAATGATGTATCTGTGATTCCTTCACTGAATGCATGCACTTCATTGTCTCTTGAAGTCAAGCTGCAGCTCATCCAAATGCACATGCCTCTGCAGCGCCACTGCTCTGCTTACCATTTGTTATAAGGCTGAGCTGTCTGCACCAGTCACTATATTTAGTTGCAGGAGAGCCAGGGGGGAAAGGTGTGCTGGAAAAGTGTGCAATGCAGAGAGGAGGAAAAGACATGAGGAAGAAGAGAAAGAAAGAGAGAGAGGAAATGCAGATGAGTATCTTACATCAAAACAAAAGAGGGGTATGGGCGCAAAGGCAGACAAAATGGAAGGAATCAACTGGACTCATGAAAGTTTTGATGGAACATTTTTCACGTGGTTCTGTCTGAAGTTATTGTTCTAGTGTCAGAAGAGTGGCAAACCTTGTATCTATATTAGATGCCAGTCTTCTGAGCAATACTGTTGAGCTTTGCCAAATCATTTACAGAGCATCTTAATTGTGTTTGCTGAAATGATGGATTTCACACACACAACCTCAGCTGTAATGAGGTTCTTTTTTTGTGCTGGCAAGATCTGATAATAACCCAAATCAATCAGAACTCCTTTGACCTCAATTCCATTATGAAACCCATTTGGTCTCCTCACTCTGTTCTTCCATCGGTGTGGCAGAGTGGTTCACTAAGACATCCAGCACAATACTTTGGAGGAACCGACAAGGTTATGAGGGATGTTGGCTCAGATTGGTCACTGTCCTTCTGTACTGGTCAAGCATGTCTTCATGTTAAAGGTCTGGTTTAAAGTTTAATATCTTACCTGCTGTAGTTTCTACATTGCTGTCAAGCTGAAGGAAAAAAGTGAAGTGGCCCGCTTAAATTCAAACCTTCACCTACGGTGAAGAAGCAGAGAACCTGTCGACTCACAGTAGCTGTGTCTCCATTAACCACAGAATTACACAATTTGAAATTGCAAAAATAAATTTGCTTAATGGAAACAAGCCAAGTTTGAAGAAACTCATGTTTTTAAAAAATAAGTTTTTGATCAAGGATGAGGTGGTTTTTGAGCCATGTTCAAATCTGTATTTCGCAAAACTGTAATGGAAACACGCTTTTCACATCACACAAAATCAACAGCCGGATGTTACTTCTGGTAAAAACGTCGAAGAAGAAAACAGGAAGTAGTAGGAGGATGATTGTGTGTTTTTATCTGAACTCTCATAAAAGTTCATAAAAGTTGTGTCATTGGCTGAATGTCTCATGTGACTGTTTACATGAATCGCTGCCATGGCTTTTAATGACTTATCCTGTGAACAAGTGAATCCATGTGTCATTTTAATTCAATTTCTTATTTAATGGAAACAACACAAAACTATGTTTTTTCAACAGCAGCAGAATATAGATACTTTTGCACACATCTGTGCAGTCCTCTCTTTTGAGGTTTTCCTGAGCTTTGAAGCCTGACTGTGGTTAAACATGCTGTCAAATACAAGTTCTTTCTCCAAGTAAGTAGGAAATAAGGACTTGAAGAGCTGGAAACTTGCAATCTGCTTTTGACAGAAATAGCTTGAGTCAAAAAAAAAGTTGACAGTCAGTGCTCTGGATGTGTCCAAAGTCATTCTGTTAGCAGTCTGACTCCTCAACTGAACTGCTGGATCCAGCATAAACAAAATGAGCTGGACGGCTCCTCAGCGTAGGAAAGTTCTTGTGAACATCAGCAAACACAGCAGTTTCCTGACCCAATAAAAATGTGTGGCTGTTGCTATGATTCAGATGATTCAAATGGACGTCTCCAGATGCTGCTGGGGTGGTAGTAGCTTTCAACGAGGCCTGGCACGCTAAACGTGTGAACAGCATGACGCCGGACTAAAGCAGGCATCTCACGTTAAGGGCAAGTGAGTTCTGCAGGACAAGCAGCTTGTAACTGTGTCAGCGCTGGCAGGGAGAGGGAGGACTGCAGGAAATCATGGGGCACTCGGCCTTCTCCACTTTGACCTCACACATGGAGCCAGATGGCCGTCAGTGGCTGCATCACTTCCATGCTTTTCCTTTAGATCACACACATTACCTTTGGTGGAGCCAATGACACAACTGTGCTACTGCAGTACAAGCAAAGGGGGGGCTTGCAAATGCATTCATACTTAGAAAACTTCTTCATGTTGTGTCATGTTCTAACCACATTCAATACAATTTACTGGGATTTTAGATGATAGTGCATTCAATTCTTATGTTGATGCATTCTTGCAATGTATTTCTTCTTGCCATATTTCCATAAGATAAAGAGTAACGTAGTAACTATCTGTTAATGGATTCTCCCCCCTGAGCTGGGAACAGGTTTTTCGAAGGGTTTGATTTGTTTAACAGTGCAGTGTGAAAGCAAACTGCACCAGCTGAAAATGGAGCAAATGTTTCAGTTTTGGTTCCCAATCTAACCGAGTCCACCGGACTCCTCCTGACCTGAAACCCCCTAACCCTGCTTATAGCTGCTCCACGTCTTCTTGTCTGTCTTGTTCCTGGCCTTCATGATGCTGGTTGATCTCTAATATTTGGTAAACATTTTCTGAGACCAAAAACAGAAAATCCTCAATCCAAGTTTTTTCCTTCTGTTTTGCTGGTCTGTAAGTATACAACCTCACAGTGAAGTAGAGGGTCTGTGGCATTCTCATGTTTACAAAATGTGTTATGAAGAGAGACGTGTCAACATCAGCCGAGGGTGTTTTTAAAGCTAAACCTGTTTCTGAGGTAGTCTGGGGAACCATCTTCCTGTATCAGACAAACACAGGGAGACAGATTCACCAGGTAAAAACAGCAGCATCTAAGCTGTTGTGACTGGCAATATTAAGGGACAGACAGTCGGGTCTTGCATGGTTGCCCTCAGGTTATATTGTATTGAAGTAGCAACTCTGTGTAAAGAGTTAGGATTTGATCAGAGGGAGATGGTATACAAGAGGTAACTAGTGTTATTTTGATTCAGTTGCTTTTTTACTTTTACAGATTGATGTTTTTTTTTATTACACAACTTAAATCAGACATAAAGTTTGTGTTTATTTGTTTTTTGTTTATTTTTCCTAGAACAGTAAGAAGCTTCCAGGCTTCATGCAAAGCTGGGCAAACACTGATCTTACTCTCATTCTAAACTACTCTAGTAGAGCATCTGTTTGTGAAACATATGGTCTGTTTCTGGAGTTTTGTGTGATACACAGATCAACACCATGTGCTGTCTGAACGGGAACTGGAATGGACTTGATTTATTGTTTTTAAACATGTTTTGTAGAAACTGAAATCAGAAAAGAGTGGTGTGATTTTATAACATTACCCCAAGATAAAATGCAATACAACAAAATATCTTCACAAGTGACTTTAAATCCAACAATCACCTTGTTAGTATCAAATTATGCACTGCTTTAAGTTTGCATTTCTCATAAAATCACAATACAACCCATTAAAAGTTGTGGTAGTAATGTGAAAAAAAACAAAAAAACAAACTAGATTCTTTTCAATGCCCCCAAAAATGTAAAATTTTGTGATGTTATTTGTTTTC